CTCTTCTATTAACGTTCATTTAATATATATTTAATAATATTATTTATTCAATATATTATTAATTTAAATATTATTACATGTTTTTAAAAATTAAACCACTAAACGCAGTTTCAGTTTTTTTTTAAAACTGAAATCAATTTCTGAATAAAACTACCAAACGCATTTAAGAAATAATTTCAAAATGAAAATAAAAACGTTTTCATTTCTATTTTCATACAGAAAACAAAATCATTTTGAAACCAATTCCAAACGCACCCGAAGTCTCCCTTCAATTACTGAGTTCAGATATGCTGTTCCGTCTCTACTAAAATTTTGACATATGTAAAAATTCCCACGTCAGCTAGCATTCAATGGGCTTAACAAACGGAGTCAAACGGAAATGATTGCCAAATACTCATCAATTACCTAAAGACTTGTTCAGTTACATTTTTAAATTAGGATAATTTAAATATAGATTTTGAACTAAATTTAAATTATTATTTAAGTTAAAAATATAATTTGAGTTTATTATTATTTAAGTTAAAAATATAATTTGAGTTTGTGTTTAAAAGTGCATATTTAAGTTAATTTTTAAATTGAGAATTTAATTTGAGTATGTATTTAGTACACTTAAACTTAAGTTGTGAATAATTAAAAATGAATGAAAGGTAATTATTTTTACTTGGAATTTATTATTAAAATAAGCAAAACTAATTTTTGTTAACAATTGCTGCTGAACTTAAACTTGAATCAAGGAGGTGGGGCTACACTCAAGAATTGTTATTTTTCTCAAGTATAAACTTGAGTTTTCACTCGAGCAGTCCTTGTTGAACAAAGACTTGGCCTAAATTCTTTACTCGAGTGGCATTTTTTTAATTTTTTGAGGGCAAACGAACAACCTCTTATTTTTCGATTAATGTCTTTTTATTTTCTTCTTTTTTGTTTTTGTTTTTTCCTTTCAATTTTTTTTCAATAGAAATAGAGTTCAATAACCCACAAATACTTTTTTTTTTTTTTTTTAGGAAAATAGTTTCGAGAATCCTCAATACAGAGTTCATTTGAAAATCTTTAATAAGCGAGTGACAATCCGTTGAACCCACAAAATTTAAGGGTCAAATCTTGATGAGCTCCTTTTGATTGTTTTGGTTGACGTCAATCACTGATGTTTTGGGGGTTTTTTTGGGCGACCCAAGTGGTCCAATTTTTGGTGGAGGAAGAATTGCTGGGCACTTTGAACTTTGAAGTTGATTTTTGAACTTGTAGAGGTTAGTGGTTGAACTTTGGGCCGGCGGGCAGGCCAGCTGGCTAAATTTTTTGGGCTCGGCGGGCTGGCCCACATGCTGGCCCGTCCAAAGTTGGATTTTCGGGCTCGAGCTCGGACAGCTCGAATTTGGTCACCACGCCGGAGCCCACCGCTGTGTAGCACCATCAATCGCCGTCTGCCGGAGTTTTTTTTTGAATTTTTCCGGCCAAGCCCGATTTGCCCGAATGCTCGAACCGCTCGAAGCCCGAATTGCCCGAAAAAGGTCAAAATTCTGACCGTTGGTGCCCAATCCGAAAATAAGCCCGAAAACCAGAATTTTGCACGAATGCCCGAGCTGCCCGAAAACCCGTCAAACAGCTAGTTTTTTTTACCGTTGCCGCCCGAACCCGACCCGCCGATTCCTAAAGTAGGCGTTGCACCCCAAATTTTTTTAAAAAAAATCAAATTTTTAACCCCAAAATTTCCCTATAAATATCCCCCATCCCCCACACATTTTTCTCACTCAAACTCTCTCAATCCCTCTCAATTTCTCTCAATCTCTCTCAATTTCTCTCAATCTCTCTCAATCTATCTCAATCTCTCAAATCTCTATTACAATTTTTCCAAAAACTATCACATTATCCTAAAGCTCTCTCTCTCAAATCGCTCTTATTTTTTTTATAATGGATCCTTTTGGTTATAGTGGTATTCCCGTTGATGCCCAACACAATGTGGAAGAAGGGCAATTTCCCACTAATGAATTTGTTACGCA